CTGAATTAGCCTCTGAGCGAAATTAGGCTGAGAGTTTGCTTCAATCACAGTTCTGGTTCTTCTCCATCTCTTACAAATATCACTCAAATGCAGTCGGAGAGGACCAGCCAAGTGCTACCCAATTCAACATTCTTAATGTAAGATGAGACTCTTACTCATTGGGGATCTAACTTTGCAGGTGGAAAGCCCTCGCTACGAGAAAAGAGACTCTCATTACTGTAAGGATGGCCGGACCCCGTACTTGCCACTTCATAGCTTGCTGAAGTGGATGCCGAATCAGCGTTAGGGTTCAAACCAGCCAACACCATTATGCTCTCTATCTCTTTTACCACCTCACTCATTGTAGGCCTGTCAGCTCTGGATTCTTCGACGCACCTCATTGCCAGTTCTACGAACTTCTCTACACCTTTCAGTGTGATTCCCAAACCAAAGTTCGGGTCAATAATCCCTTGAAGGTTATATAGTTCTTTATTCTTGTCCATAGTTTGCCGTATCTCTCTTACAACGTGTACTCCTTTTTCAATCGGCTTCCTTGCAGTTACCAGCTCCAGAATTAGCACTCCAAAGCTATATACGTCGCTCTTCTCAGTCAACTGCTGTGTCATGTAATATTCGGGATCTAAGTAGCCCTGCACCAGGAAATAAAATCCACCTTTCAGTCTACAACACTAGAAAAATATTGTAGAATTTTCAGTGAACTCGAGCATTTAATACTCGCGACACCGTTATGATTTCTTCATGTTATTTTACCAACTATTAGATGTCAATCACGTTATGTGTACTTTATATCAATTAATGCTGTCTTCATCAAGACGAGTCCAACTGTCCAAAGAATCCAAAAAATGGTTCAGGAAGTGCTAATGAGGCTTCATCTGGAATTAGAATCTGGAAGATAGTTTAGAAAAGCTACCATACCTTCCATGTGACTATTGAAGTAAGTGCATATACTTCTAACCAATTACTCTATAAGAATACTTATAAATAACTTTAATTCCTTTAAGACAAATACAGAGTTTGTAAATTATCTTATTCAGCCTCAAACACTAAGCAGTGGGAAATTTTCCATATCCCGGATCTGGTTCTTAGTTTACCTGATGCAGCTACGAATATAACCAGTTAATGACACTTGTAGTTCCAGATAATATTTTCACAATTGAACTTTGTGAACAGGTTAAATTTGAAATTTCAAGAATAATCTTTAGAAACTGAAGTCATTTTAATTTTTTTTTATTTTAATTTTTTATTTTATTTTTAATTTATTTATTTATTTATATAGCAAATTAGAGTTTTTCTTGCAAGAGTAGGGTTTAGAGGATTTTGTACTAACCATTGTCCCTTTGACTTGAGTACTTATATGGCTCGCATCAGCATCACTCATAACCTTGGAGAGACCAAAATCAGCAACTTTTGCATTTAAGTGTGAATCTAGTAGAATGTTGTTTGATTTGATGTCCCTATGTATTATGGGAGGGTTGACAAGCTCATGCAGATATGCCAGACCTCTGGCTGCACCAAGAGCTACTCGAAGTCTCCTCATCCAATCCAACTTGATCCCCGACTTTCCTGCACAGACGGTGTGTTAAAATCGAAAAGATTTGACTTAAAACTGTGTTTCTTAGCTCAAAAATACTAATCTATAGAGTAGTTCATCATGCAGGAAAACATGAAAATATCAAACACTTTATTTGTCAGTCTTGTGAAAATGTCTTAAATTTTATCAATGCTTTCCAAGGTCCAAATATACCCCTATAACATGGTGTTGTTAGGAAGTTGGGGTTTTGAATCAGGCTTAAGTTTATTCTGCTGGTCAAAAAAAATAGAGGTAATATCAAACTTCAAATTCCTGGATTTGAGAAAAATGTTCATGTAATTCTATTATCAATGATGGAAAATACTTTGTGCTCTAATCGGATTCTTTTATTGCTTTTGTAGCTTGATGCTAGGAGATTGATCTCACAGACAGTGATACAGAAAGATTAATGCTAAGTTTGGCTGGAAGGAAGGATTAAGGAGGGATGGATGGGGACCGCGGGGGGGGGGGGGGGGGGGAGGCGGCGCATCCCTCCTAGCCTGTTGTTTTTCTCAGTCCAAAATTGGGCGGAAGAGTGGAGGGAATGAAAGAATAACTAATCCAAAAAAAAGGTAATACCAATTTTAACCTTCAGTTATTTACTAATAACCGGTTAAACCCTATTGAAATTCAATCAGACTTAATAAGGGTATATTGGTACAAAGATATAAAAACTCTCCTTCCCTTCCTTTCTTTACATATAGAGCAAACAACTGAATTGCAATTATTAACAAATTTCATATTAGATGAGAAGGATAGATAACAAGTTCAAGTACCTGAAAGGCTTTCCTTTAGCGAACCATTTGGAACATACTCATAGACCAGCATTTGTTCACTTTTATCAAAACAGAAACCAACAAGGCTGACAACATTCTTATGATGAACCCTTGATAACATCTCAATCTCAGCTTTGAATTCATTACCACCCTGCCTGGATCCTTCTTGAGATCTTTTAATTGCAATCAGTTGACCAGTGGGAAGAGTGCCCCTGTAAACCTGTGGCAAGTTCAGAATCTGAAAACTATTCGGCGACATGAATATCTCTGAAAAAAATTTCTGTGAAGGGCGAGAAACCATGTTGATGACGAAATTCTTTTATGGAGAGAAATAATTCAAGCAAACGAAATCCAGTGGAAAACGCAACAAGTACTGGAAAAGATAAACTATGCTTTCTAGAACTTGTATGGTAACTTGTTTAAGTATACACGAACTTGGGGAATGATTTGATACATTGAAAACATGCAATAATTCATTGTCTAATACCCTAATTAGGTACTATTAATTAGAAAGTTGTAGATGATTCTGAAATTGTGAAAATTCAGAGATTTTGTTGCATAAATGACAAAACTATTGCCTATTCCATCTGAACTTGAGTCATATCTGCAGGAGTGAAGTAAAATGGAGCCTACGGTCTGGGAAAGGAATGGTCTACACCTATGTGTATTAGATCATGGTATTAGCATGCATGCAATGAATGTAAAATTTTAACCTTCCCGTAACCCCCAGATCCAATAGCGTTCTTTTCTGAAAAGTTGTTGGTGCATTTCTTAAGCTCTTCAAACGAGAAACATCTTGCTTTATCCAACTGAGGGATGCCTCCACTGTGTTTACTACAGTCCCAAGATGCTGCATTAGTATGACAATAAAGCGAAAAAAAAATCAGAAAATTCCATAATAAGTTTAATTGGAAAACGCTTGGTCACAATTCATTTCTTATCTTACCAAAAGGATCATTCCGTTTAGTAACTCTTTCAGCTCTTTTCTTTTGTTTGAAAGCATAAACTCCTGCAAAGAGTAACAATAGCACAAGAACAGAACCACCAACTGCTGCTCCAATGATAATACCGATACTTGATTTATTTGTTTGTTTAGATACTTCTGCATGACAATATAGATGGAGAGAATGAGACTCAGATGAATCACAATGAGATAGAACAAACTTTGAGACAAATTTTTCTCACATTCAATTGAAATACTTAATTACCTGCAAAGTGACTATATTCGGCAGCAATGAAAAAAAAGGGTCCAAAATTGGGAGGGGGCTTGAAAGTTTGGTTGCTCAGCACAAACCCAATCCAAGAAATTCCAGTTCGGTTGAAATGTTCTTGGCCGGATGGAAAAACTTCTAGGCTCAATAAAAGGTAATCTTCCAAATTTTTGGTTGCATTACTCAGAGAAACTGAATCCACCAGGAGTTCATGCAAGTTAAAAGAAAGCATTAGCTTCTCTTGGAGAGGAATATAGACACTCGAGTTCCCCAGGTTTGAGAAGGAAGGAGCTCTGAAATATAGGGTGCCCGTGTATGGATATGCGCATTTACAGCTGGGGCTGGAAATTTGATCTGAGCTGCAGGAAGCAGGCTTACAGTTATGTGGTGGTGTTGAATATGAAATATTGGACTGTTGAATGGTGCAGTATTTTTCTGTTGTTGTTTTTGTTTCCTCACAAATTGGATTGCCTAAAAGACTGCAGCAAATAGTTGAGAATCACGGCAATGTGGTTTATAAAAATGAAAAGAAAATTATAGTAAATATATTGCATCCTGTCATTTGAACATCCAAATAATAATGTAATGGTCAGTTCTTTAGTATTGTCATAGACACAGAAAATGGCCAAAACAACAGAGGAATATGAAAGCTTACATTATTGTTTTCGTCTCAATATTGTTTTCTGCCCTTCGCGTAAATTCAGTAATGAGATTGTACTGCAAGTCAATGAGTTGCAGCTGATTGCTATGGCTGGAGCCAATATCCAAGGTGCCATTAAGCTGGTTGTTTCTTAGTATGCTGTCATCACAAGTCAAAAATGTAGTTTGCTCATTACCACCACTATCATAATGTAAACATATAATGAGTATCGGCTCTGTTGAAATCTCAGGAATTTGCATGGTTTTTTTTTTTCTGGATTCCTCAAAACTTAACAAACTAAATACAGCATTATATGAGATCAAGCTGATACTCACACGGTTTGTAATCCAGAAAGGCTGAAGAGCTCAACTGGAATTTCTCCTTGAAGACTCGTCCGTTCCATCTTTCTGCCGTGAAAAGTTTAGTAGATTATCTTTTATAAAGAACACTCCAAATCTTCTTCTTTACGCTGAGTGAGTGAGATTTAAAATTAAGTTAATTCACCAACAAATGTGGAAAAAGTTGCTTAGATGGTTTAGATATGTACAGCAAAGATCAGTAAGGAGTGGCATATTCAGAATTGAAGCTACTACATTGTCAAGGAGAAGGCTTAGGACACATGATTGAGGTTGTGAGAAAAGGCATGTGTGACGTCTTGGATTTTTTCTTTAATGTTTGGTGATTTTTTTACGCATCGTTTTGCGTACCATGCACCGATTATCGTGGCGTATGGTTCCGGTATTCATTTGGGACATTTCTTTGAGTTAAGAACTCTCCTAAATAACAAATGTATTTTGGTGCGTTTTAACATTTTTTGAATTTTCAGGCTTAGAGATCCCATGTGGGCCCCACGCCGGGGAATTTTGTGCTCGGATTTATTTTCTGGATTCATGTACATATTATTTGATGTTCATGTAAGGGTATATTTGGATTTTTACATCAATATGGCATTATTGGGTTTATTTGATTGTGAGGGGCGTAAAGGTCATTTTGGTGGTCAAAGGTGGACCAACCTTTGACCAAGTCACATGTGAGGGGACAAATTCAGATTACTTCCACTCCCTCTCCCATTTTATGACGAGCCATTTCTTCTTCTTCCCCATCCTCCATTAATGGCCACCATTGTTACCCTAGTTAGAGCTCATTTTTGACCCCTTTTTTAGTGAGATTCGGGCAAAGTGTTAGAAGAGAAGTTGAACCTACATGTCATAAGCTTTCTATTGATGCCATCATATTCACCATTTGAGCCACTTGAAATTTCGGGTCTTGCTTAGAGTAGGATTTGAGAAAAAGGCTTGGTAGAGAAGTTGTTAGGCATGTCTTGATCTACATGATGGTGTGATTTTGGAGACCATTGGAGGCTTCTTAGATTTTCGGCCAAGGCTTGAGGAGGGCTTTTGTTGCGTCTTCAAGAGGGAAGGTTGGTCTCATTTTCCTCCTCTTCATTTTGGTGGTGATAGCTTGCATTTTGGAGGAGTTTAACAAGGAGCCAAAGTTAGGGTTTATGCATTCAAGAGGTAGGGGTGTTTAATTCATGGAGTCTTGGGTTTATTGTGAGTGTTTATGTATTAATTTCATAATATAGTATGCTATGTATCCTTGGGGTAGTAATTTGATATCCTTGTGCTAGTAATTTGATTTACTATGTGAGAACCCATGTTATAGCATGCTTTATATGAGGTTTAATGATGTTGATTACATGTCATCTTTGTGAAGGGAATTACTAGTACGCTTAGTAGGAAAAATGGTATTAAATGATATACTAAGATGACTATATGAATGAATTGCTTGCATGACTTATATGGTGAGAATGTGTCAATCTTGCATGCAAAGATTATTTGAACAATTTGCTAGCATGCTTACTTATAACAATTGAATTAAATGTCAATCCATGTTAAGTTGTGGGATTGGAAATGTTGAAATTGTGTTGTAAAGGCATGTATGTAATTATGATTATGTGAATGTTTTACAAGTATGTTGAATGTTTGGTTAATTGATTATATGAAGTAACTTGTTAAGTTTTGTGTTGTGGAAGGATGCTTGTATGATGTGGTGTTGATGTGTTGGGTGGCATATCCACTTCATGATGCTAGCTAGGTGCATTCATGGAAGTATTTTAAGTCATGCATTGGGTAGAGAATGTGTGAGTGAAAAAGGAAATGTGAAAAGGATGATATTTCAAGTAAGTGGATTTGTGGTGGACGGAAGACAAGCGGTAGTCTTATTTCCAAGATTTTGGTAGTTTGGCCCCAAATGGTTGGTTGAGTGGTGGTCTCATGCCAGGGATAGCTAGCCAATATTCCAAATGGTGGACAAGCGGTAGATTTGTGATATTTGTAGTTAGATGCCTCTAGTGTGGATTTGTGTAGTATGATGGATTGGTTGGGAAATTGCTATTGTGTGTGTAGGATGAGATCATGAGGTCAGTTCCGGGATGATTCATGGCATAAGCATTCATAAAATTGTTGGTTTCTGGTGCACTTGTATGTGTGAATGTGGTTAAGTTGATGCTTATATATATTGTTGTTGTTTATACATTGTTAATTCTGTTGTTTCCCCCTAATGTTATGATCCTCATACCTTGCTCTCCCTCTTCTTTATGTGTTTATTTAGGTATACTCTACTGAGCGGTGGTGCTTGCCCTTTTATCTTAAACATTTTTTAGGGTAGGAAGCGACGAAATGGATGAGACGCTTCAATGTACTTAGGCGTAGTTAGGATGTTTATTTTCATCATCTTTTGTAACTGATGTCACATTCATAAAGTTTTATCATAAGCTTGTACTATTTTGAAGTCATTTCAATAGTGATGTAAACTGATGACCTTGGTGGTGTAACCTATCAAACTTGTATAATTTTATCTATCTTTTGTGGTCTCATTGTGATTTCTAGCCATCCATGAATTTCTTAGCCCTTGATGATGTACTTTGAACCATTATAAAGTATGGAAATTAAATTGGAAGTGTATCTATGTTTTATGGTTGCTTTGGGACAGGTTTTGTATGTTTTAAATGTCAATTGATGACCATGAGACTTAGACCATTGGTAACGGGACGATAGAGGGGTCCAACCCCAATGGGGGATTGATCATTCTCTCTATTTCAGACGGGGTATTCTGCCGGGGGTGGGGGATCGATCTCCCATTTCTCTAATTATAGAAATTTATTTATTTATTTATTTTTTCCTGATCTTGTAATAGGCATAACTTCTTCATTTTAAATCCAAATGGGGTCATTCTTGAGTCCAAATTGAAGAATTTTAAGTCTCATTTCCATTAGTGCCAGCTTCATTTCATAATTCTGACTTGAAATGACCGTTTTACCCTTGTAAACCCTAGGGGTCCGGCGTGAACCCAAGGTTGGAGGCATCATCTCTTTGTGAACCGATGTTAATAGAAATGACTTGTATGACTTCATTATGACTCCTAGCACTTAGTAAAGTTCATAGTAGCTTTATTACCCTTAGATGTCCTCAGGTTCGGGTAAGGACCTTGTTAGCGATTTGGACCCTCAGATTCAGGTCGTTACATTATGATTACTGTGTTTCATACAATACGAGTCCCTACATAAAGAAAAAAATGTGGAAGTGGATTAATGGAGCATCCCCATGCAGTTCGTAGACTCCTTGATTCAAGTTGTATGTGAGCTACTTTTATGTGTGTGTGTGTGTGTGTAAGAGAGAGAGAGAGATATTACAGTGTTGTCAAAGATGGAAAGGATGAAACCCATGGAGGAAGACTTGATGCATCAAATGAGTTATTGCTCATATCCCTGCAAATTAATAACATTTCGGTTGAAGAATAGAAAATAAGAACACTACTAACTGATATAATTGTCAAAATAAAATGACAGCAAATTAAAGGCATATGTTTCGGAAAAAGGGAACAAGAAGCTAAAAAATGATATTTCAGAAAACAGTTGGAGGATCAAGGTGTTTTATTCAATGAAGTTAGTAATATCAGCTACTTACACATAAGAGAGGGAATACATGCCAGTAAGATTTGGCAGTGGACCAGTGAGTTTATTGTTGGACAAGAACCTGAAAGTGAACAATCAGAAGCCAAATTGAAAAGCAGAAAGTCCATTACAGGATAATGTTGAGTTGAAATAGAAATGCGTTAAGTTGGAAAAAAAATCTTTTATATACTTACAGCTCCTTGACTTGTGAAAGGTTGTTAAAGTTTGATGGAACTGGTCCTCCTAATGAATTTCTATCAAGGCGGCTGTTGTAAACACAAGATATTCAATACGAATGCCTCATGGAAATTCACAGTTTGCAAAAATCTTAACTTAATTTTGCTCAAGTATGTGACAGATATACTCACACCACCTCCAAAGTTTGCACGTGTCCCAGTGAGGAAGGAATGCTGCCGGTTAGCTGGTTGCTATCAAGAAGCCTGTAAACATATATATATATCCCAGTGAGGAAGGAATGCTGCCGGTTAGCTGGTTGCTATCAAGAAGCCTGTAAACATATATATATATATATATATATATATATATATATATATATATATATAGTATGTATGATTATATGACCATACTGAAACTAATGTCCAGATTCAAACAAATTCGTATGAGAATAGGTGCTTGTATTAAATTTAACACTCCTCGTTAGATAAAAGAAAATGTCACTAAATAAAAAATCCAAGATATGCATAATTCAGATATATCAAGTAATTTGAAGGGGCCGTATCCACAGGAAAACTGATAAAAAAAAAAAAGGGCATATTATCCTAGTCAATATGCAGGTAAGCAAACCTTAAAGATGTAAAAGAAAAAAGAAAAAAACAGAGAGAGAAAAGTCATCTATATCTTTCCTATGTTCATATATATTCTTTTTAAGCATGAAATCTTGCTACTTTTCTTTTCTCCTAGTCAATATGCAGGTAAGCAAACCTTAAAGATGTAAAGCATATCCAATGTATTATTTTAAGCAGACGCTCGAGTAATATACTACTGATTCTTGTGATAAGTAACCAATTCAATGGAACTTACAAATGTATCAGAACCATGTTTGAGCTGAATAGCTGTGGTGGAATTTCACCGGATAGTTGGTTTTTTCCAAAGTGACTGTAATAAACATATTTTGTGATTATTACTAGGAAGAAAGTAAAGGTCAAAGTAAAAGGAACTGGTAGCTCAAACATACTTAAGATTATAGAACTTACAAGTGCTTCGTACGAACTAGCATATCCAAACCAGGTGTGATCCCGTCAGAGACTGGGATAGTTCCACTCAGTTTGTTATCAGCAAGATCTAGCCAATATAGATTTGTTAGATTTCCAATGGACGGTGGTATTGGTCCACTGAAGCTATTAGAGTTTAGAGACCTGCAGAAGACAAAATGAAGAACTATTAAAAAGAGAAAAAAGAAAAAGAAAAAAATGAAGACATGGAACTGCACTGAAAATCCCAAGTCACTTTACTTATTGGCACATTTTAGCTGTAAATTTGTGGAATACAAACATGTAAAGCGCAACTCATATAAATTAAAATAATGGAGCTTCTGATGCTTGATTGAAAGAATCACAAATTAGATCCCTTGTGCAATTCTGTAGTCTTGAAAGCAAGTAACGAGTGTGTGCGGAAGGACCTAGGTTCTGGGGTCTGATGGAGGAAGTGCTTGTCTTCATCAGGTTTAAGAGTTTGCGATGCATAGGAAATGTTCAAATAACAGATATACATACAAGGTATACAAATTTGTAGAAAATGACTAATATCTTGCAACAAAATCAAATTTGTAATGAATTTTTTTTGTAAAACTTTATTTCAAATCAAGCTTCTGTACAATAAGAGAGCATCAAAGTTCATAAAATTTTAAAATCAAAATCATATACAATAAGAAAGCATTGGTCAGGCCAGTTCTTTAAGATAGTTCTTTTCGTTACAATCATAATTAAGGAAAACAGTCATTGTTTATTTGTCAAGGCTTTTAAACTTTCAGTATGTAACCTTTTCGGTTTCACTCTAGTACAATTATTCCAGAAGATGAAATAATTTCAGTTATAGTGTTGTACAACAAGTTTGATTTTTCAATCATATTAGTTCCAAATCTATGATAACACCATCATAGACTTGTATCAAAAAGGAATTTCAATCATAAACGTTCTTAGCGACAAGCTTGGAGTCACAGTTCTAGAACAGACTGTCAACTAAGATAAAACTTTATGCGAACTCGACTTCTAGCCTCTTTTAAATGCAAGTAATATTTCAAAACTCACATCTGACATTTGCATTTTCATTAACTATCGCATTAAAAATAAAACAAGAATACCAAATTTGAATCCTTACAAGAAAACCAGCTGTCGGAGAGATCCGATTGACTCTGGAATCAGACCAGTGAAACTGCAACCAACCAGAATTCTGATGCAGAGTAGAATCAATTGGTTTATTATCATTTAATTGGCAGAGCATTGTAACTACCATTTAATTATCAGCTAATACTTTATTAAAACAATAAAATTTTCCTTACAAGGTTGATAACTCCTTTAAATTTCCAATGGATGAGGGAAGAGATCCTGTTAAGCCCTTATTATATGATAGATCCCTGTACACACAGGCAGATAATCAAATACCAGTTTCACTAATTCCTTCCAGGAAAATGAAAATTAAAAGACCATTGCAAACAGCTTCTATTAGTAAAATAAGGAATAATCACACTCATGTAGAGGGTGAAGAATCTTTCCATATTAGCATTGAAGAGAAATAGATACATGCATAGATATTGTTTTTGCGTGCATGCCTCCATGAGCGCGCACGTGAGAGAGAGAGATAGAGATATAGGGGGAATAAGTGGGGAAAATATAGTTATAACACCATTAGTCATGGTGCCATATCCTGTAATAAAAAATTTATTAAGATAATATAATTATGATGCAAAATAATTAAACAAAAACAAAGAAAAATTCATCATGGTTGTTCCTTATTGTGTCACGCATAGGACTTTGAAGGATTATTTTTAAGGTAGCATTTGGATGTTCCAAGTAAATGTTTAGTCCACAAGGACATGTCCGAGGAGTTCACAAATTTTGCTGTGAACACAAGAACATTTGGCATGTCCGAGGGGTCACAAATTTTGCTGTGAACACGAGCATATTGCGGTACTGCAATCAGAAGAATGATGGTATCTAAAAAGACGAAGAACCACAATTTGGATTCCATGTAAGGGAGAAGAGGAAGAGTGAGCATGGAACACATACAGAGTCTGTAACTCAGATAGTGACTGAATATCTCCAGACAGTTCACCAACCAAGTTCATGCTTGATAATTTTCTGAAATTGAAATTGGTCAGTTTAATCTCGAATATATGAAGAGGCAGAATAAGTTATTTTCCATTAGCAGTAACATGATGAATAACTTACATGGAAGTCACGCGTGAATTGGTGCAACCGATTCCTTCCCAATTATCGGCACATGGATTGGAGCTAATCCAACTGGATAGTGTGCTATTCCAGTCATCCAAGAGAGATTTTAGAGGAGCAACTGTGACACAAATTCAGAAATTAAAAATTACTTTACCATTTTGAGTATAAAAAACCAATTTTTTCATAGATTTTAAGATTACTCTCTTTGGAACAAACAAATAATTATGATAATTGTGGACAAAGGAAGTTACTAAAACTTAACAGTCTATACTCTAAAAATTTAAGAAACAAAGAGAATATCAACCTTAGTTTAGACACAATGAGCCTTGAAAATTTAGCTTAGTTGATTTGACTAGTTCATTCTTTGCAAGGAAAAATGAAAGGACACAAATCAACATTCAGTTTCTTTACTTTTCCTTCATTTTCCCAGCACCCAAACACAGATTATCTATAAGAAGATTGAAAATGAGCTAAATCTAAAGAAGCATGCAATGAAGCTCTATCACACACATA